TGTATTTCCCACATCTTTGCGCCTAATCTCATTATTCTCTGTGAATGCAATGGAAGGTTGTAGGAGATGGTAGTAGTGGAGGTGGTCTTTTATAATGGCATGGAGGGAGAATAAATTTCTGAGGAGGTTTCCAAATTGGAAATGATGCACCTTTTTCCTGGTTGATTGTAAATATAAATGATAATGATATGTAGAGGAGTTGTGAGTCTGCTTGAGATGTGGGTGCAAATGAAACGAGAGGAGGAGTGGGCTTGCAAATTGGAGAAAAATGTAGCAATTTTTTTAAACATTCTGATCAAGTGCAATTTACTTTTTTTCTCAATCTTTTTTTGTTCGTTTCAAATTGGACAAATTGCTTCATTAAAATACACTAATTTGTGAGAAAAAAACACCATCAGGTGAATCATGTGAAGCATTTATACAGTGAAAATTTCTCTGCAGTGCATAAAGGCAAAACCAGATGAGAATACTTTTAAAGTATAAGGGCTCTTTACTCTCTCTCCCTCTCTCTCTCTCTCTCTCCACTATACATGTATAGCATTTGTCTGTCAATGCATCTATTTGCAATTAAGTTGCTATCCACCCCCCCCCCCCCCCCCCCCACACACACACACACACACACACAAAAAAAAAAAAGACTAAGTAAATTTTGATATTTGTGAAACTCTGTTACTGGCTATAAATACACTGTGAAACCCCAGACATGTACTATTTGCCGAGGACATCTGAGGATATCCAGCAGCCGCCTTATATGCTCAATGCTCCGTAATCAAGAAAAAGTGCAGCGGAAATTAAACATGCGCAGCCATATGCAGGTTTGATCAGATTTTGTTCATGGTCAAAAAGATGCATTATGCTCTTCAAAGAAGGTCTTTGTTTGTCTTCCAGACGAGCGGAGAATATCCTTGGGAGCTTGGTGTGCGTCTGCACTGACGGCGAGAGAAAACCGGGTCATCTCAGGTCACTTGAGGTGAAATGTACGAGTTTTACCAGATTGGTTTCCCAAAGCGATGCTGTCTGAGAAAATAAGACTTAACTTGGTTTGCTTATCTATATATATGTGTATGTTGGTTATTTGATAGTGGATCAATAGGACAATCTCTGAGTTATTTTTTCTGAAGTCTGTTGGTTCTGTTGATTGTGCTATAGTTTTCTAGGTTGGTGACCTGAACATAGAAGATGTTTGAGGGTTTCCCCAGAATTTTTTTTCTTAACATTTAGGGGGCTTCTCAAGCGTAGGTTGTGCAGTTGTGTTGGAAAACTTGTGTGGAGAGAAGGGATTTCTTTTTTTTTGTTTAAGTTTTTGAGATTTCACTTCATAGATGTGGAATATTTTTGGGTGGAGGACCATATGTGACATGAATATTAAAAAAAAACAAATGGAAGGCAGACAGCACAACTTATCTTAATGGTACTAAATGATTCCATCAGTGCATAAAAATTAAGGGAAGTGTGCTGGCTAAATTTCATACTCTCCATCAGCCAATGTAATTTCTTAGATATTACAACAGCAAGTCAGTGTTATGACATGCAAATTGAATATCAGTTATTGTAGTGATGGGTAGGACAACAGAGTGATTAGATGGATTTTTATTATGGTTGGATATCAAGGGGTCGAACCCTGCATGCTTCTCTGATGGTGCTGTCTCACCATGTCAAACCCCCAAGAGTTGACTGGAAATGCAACCCTTGTCTACCCTTCACTTCATTTTATAACCACATTAGCTGCCGTATCGTGTGCGCAGTTCATGGATCAAATCATTTTGTAAAAGAATAAAATCATTTAGTTTCATGATGTGTTTTTTTTTTTTTTTTTTCTTCTCGAGTCATAAAAGCTAATAGAACATGCATTACTGTTCCACTTGGTGAACACCTAGAATAATGAGGAAGGGAACATAACACTAGCTTGTTGGCTGAAAAATAAAGGAGTCCTGTTTGAGAACAGTCAGCTATTAATTAGAGAGAGGAACAAGGTGACAAGGTTACAAAAAGGCTTCAACTTAGATGATAGAAGACAAAGTGGTATGGATTGCTACTTTGTTCAAAAAAGTGACTTTTCCGTAAAGGAAATGCTCCGTGTTTGTACGTGGGTGCATGTGTGTGATTATATTTCAAGTAATGGCAGCAATAATTATAACAAATAATATAAAACAATTTTGATAATGGACTAAAGAGTCCCTTGAAAGTTCTACTCCTTCCACCAAGTTTGGGTTTGCTGCAGACTAATGGGGCAAGATTGTAGAAGCAAAATGCTCGGAATATGTTGTGAGGGCAATGTGTTCAGCAGAATCTTTGCGGGGGTTATTGTGTACTTTTTTTTTCTGCCAGGACTGCCTCACAAATGAACTACAGGCCAAAAAGTTGCCTTCTTTGACCCAAGACGGCTCAGTTGTAATCCACTTAAGTGAATTGGTGGACCTCTTTTGCAACACATACTGCCCTTAGCAAAATTTTGAGTCCTGCCACAAACTTCTCGCAAATGTGCTGCAAATTTGCAAAAGGAGTTTTATGTTTTTGCAAATTTGCTGCAAATTAGCAGCTTTGCCATTTTTTTCTTGCAAACTTAGTTTGCATTAAATTTGCAGAAAATAAGCTGGAATTGTTTTATAATGTTAACAAGCTTATCAGGGCATCCATAGGTTTCCAGGACCTTCTTTGAAAGTCATATTTAATGGATAGAGGTACTGGTGTTTAACTAACTGTTCCCTAATGGAGACTTAAGTGATGGAAGTTGTTAACATACCCTCCTTTTCGATATAATGGTTAGATTATTGATGCTGAAGGTTGAAATGTGGGTGAGAATTATTTGCTTTTCCGTTTTGCTCATATCAACACTGCTGCAAAATGTTTCAATAAAAAGCATGCACTGGACACATGCACCTATACTCTTCAGCTCACCTTTTAAGATTAGTCACAGGGACAGTTTTGCAATTATTATTTATTTTTTTTTTTTTTCATTTTTTCTGACGTTTTGTACTGATTGTCTTCTATAAATGTTGACCTTTCTCAGGTTTCACAATATTGTTTTCCCCCAGTGACACTAAAGAAGATCATTCCTGGTTTCAGGTTTATGACCCTCAGTATGGGGTACCTACCCCTGGGCAGGGTATGTCCCATGAGCTTCCTTAATTGCAACATCACTGTCAGACTTTCACAAAAACTAACTCCGTATTTCTAATAGTAATACTGTGACACACAGTGACTTCGAGGTAACCTTCTATGTTTAGAATTTAATTGCTAATTAAAGCATTAGTACAGCTTTGGTTGAGGAGAGGCAGTGGATAGAAGTTGTTTTTAAATAAAAGAACAGTGAAAGATAGTGGTTGCATACACATTAGACTTCATTTCCTCCTGCACTCCCCCCCCCCCCCATATGACATACCATTAAGGATATTTTAACCCTTTATTATCATCCAGATACCAAAATTGAGTATTTTCCTGCATCTAATTATTCAGTAATGCATCTATCTTTGTGCTAAATTAAAACAATAAAAAAACTCGAAAATATAAAATATCGATGTTACAATGTATAAGCATAGGCAACTCAAAGCTTTAATCATCAATTTAACACCTTTCTATTTTGAGGTGAGATAGCAATTGGTATGGGGTGTAACTTCATCCCTGGACAAGATTTTATCACAAAAATTGGCAGAGTTGACCAGGAGTGTATAGGCTACAATCCTGTGCCATCATTTTGGTTCATATGTTTTTGTTATGGAGTTATGAGCCCCTAATTACAGATTTTCATTAAAGAAAGACATTATTTTACTTTATCAGTGATAAAATCTGAACTTAGACTTTCAAGAAAAATGACTGGCAAAGTTTTGGAGTACTAAATAGTATCATTAAATCAGCGTCAAAACGATGATCGTGGGTGCTCAGGGAAAAGAAAATTCTATAAAATGATTTTTCAGTTTTCATCCCAAAATTGCAATCTAAGATGGTGAATATCTGTCAGAAGTCAGATTCATGAAGAATATGATGAACATTAACATTGCACATCCAGTAATTGATAAATGGGTGTTTTGTGTCATGGCGACCCTTTTGAACTCAACTGAGTGAGGGCACAAAATGCTTTTACGTTAATTTGAACGAGGAAAACATGTATCTGTTTATTTTACATCATGAGTGTATAAATAGTGAACTTAGACAAAGAAAAATGATTGTTTAAGTCAAATTATTCTGAATGTTATAGAAGTGAATTGTTTGTTAATGTAATTGAATGTGAAATGGTGGATTGTCATGCTTGAATATTCGTGTACATTTAGCCCAAAAAGTTTTTGCTGAGCACAGGTTGGTAAAAAAAGTTCTTACACAGCAAAATGACTGATTACTTGAGGGGTTTAGGAATATTTGTGGTTGCAGTAATTGGCAGTGACATTTTGGTTTCAGACAAATATTACATGACTTTGATATATTCTCTTTTAAAAGCATTTGAAAGCTTGGAAACTGTTGCAAGGGACATTTCACAGAGATGGCACGTGTCAGCCAGCTTTGTGAATGAGTGTGAGAAAAAACTTTAAAAGACATGTAGGTCAGGAAATGTACTAAAATTTGTTGTGTATTCTTAATGTCACAAGTGCACACCTATATCTTGGCATTTAGTGTTTTTATCTCAGTGCTAAAGATATGTTATTTCAGCTAAAGAGAAGGAAAATGTTTGATAACATCATATTGTAAATGCATGTGGTAGCTAGAGGCCTATGCAGATGGGAAGTTTGTTTCACAGACCAACCAATTTCTTTTTATTCATTGATTTGCTTGATTCATTTATCATTCGTCTTTCAAGTTGCTGATTGAAATTTCATATTATTATTATTGTTATTATTATTATTCATACACCTTTTAAGTTTATTGAAGGAGTGATTCACTTTTTGGTACACAATCTGTTTTGTTGTTTTCATCTCTGTGTAATTTGTCTTTCATTCAGTTGGGTAGGGGTAAAGAATTGCCCTCATTTTAATTTTGACTTAAGATACCGTTATTTATTTTTACTCTAGGCAAATTCGCTGTTCACTACCATCCTGGGAAAAACCAACTCCAAGATTCCATGACATTTCGCTAAAATCAGGACTGATTCTCCAAGATCTTCACAGTTGTACATCGTACCTTTTACAGCATGGTGTGCTTATGAAATTCTAGCACATTTTTTTCCTTTGGGAGCATTTCTGTGGATATTATGCAGCTCAGCATCACACCCACTCTTAGTTGACTGTGGTAATTACTTGTGAATTGTACATACCAAACTTTATTCAGTTTTTTTTTTTTATTTTAAAAAATCATTCAAATTTACTCACAAATAGATACTTTTTGACAGAAAACCATGCTTTTTTTCTCTCTCTCTCTCTTCAAGTCTGAGGTATTAGAAATTCAGTATTATGTTAGGAATATGGTGACTTTGGTGTGAGTGTAGTGAAGAATTACTGCAGTGCACATGGAGTATTGGAGACTGGCAACGTCAATGAAGTCTGAAAACAAGGCACATATCAATCACCCAGTGATTTTAATTTGTTACTTTTGGTGATGAAGTGATTAAACCATTATTACTTCAACAAAGGTGACTTTTCCAATGACGTTAAGTGCAGTCGCAGTAGTTGTGTTTGATTACTGAAGGACCAGTTTTGATGTATTGCAATCTGATTGCGGTGTAATATTCTCAGGCCAAATTCAGAATAGGGGAGTAACTAGTCCGAGGGTCAAATATGGCGACCGAATACATAGTTTGCCATCTAATTCGCTAATAGACACTGAATAGATATCCCGTGGGGAAGTATTCAAGTGGGTCAGCCATATTTGACCCAGGCACTACCGTAGTTAGTCCCATATTCTGAATGGGGCCTTACACACTTGGTATAATATTATAACTCATAGTATTTGCAGTGAAAAGGTTTTGAAGTGAAATATATACAAATATTAGTAGTGCATAGTCATGTTTGTATGTTCAAAACTGCTAAAAGATGAAAGGTACTCTGTTTGAGATTTTTGGGCCAAATCTTATTTTCCTAAAGAAAAAAGCAATTTTCACATATTAAATCATTGCTAGCCTGTCCCTTCGCTTGGATTCCATGTTTTGCACTATTTCTAAGTAAATAGTTCACTGCAAAATCGATCGTTTTTCATTTAGACCAGAGATTTCACAAGGTAATATTTTCTTCATGTACTTCTATTTGAGGAATTTTATTGTTTTTAAGATATGAATGGGGAAAGATATTTTTAAAATATGATTTTGGGACATTTTTAATGGATATAATGTACCTTTAAATTTCATGTATATATTAAGGTGCTAATTCATGTATTCATTTGACAAACTGAAATATTTATGATAAGGGCCTAAATTGGAGGTGCAAATATTTTATTTATATTTTCAGAATGGAAGAAATAAAATGTGTGATCTGAGTAGCTTTCATTTTGATTTTAGAGTGGTGTGATTGAAAACTCTGGCTTAAGACACGTACAGTATTATCCTGGTTTTTAAAAAATTAGTGAAAATACAAATATTTCAAAAGATACCTCCACGTCTGATTCAAAGGGAACACCACTGATATGAGCCGAGAGACCGAACATATTTCCAAGAAGTTTACCTCAAGTAAAAAAAAAGTTTTTATAGATAATCTGTAACCATTTGTGAGCACTGTATATAATTAATTCCCTTCCTTTTGAAAAAGGGTTTCTTTAGAAGGCTAATTGATTTATTAATAAGCCATTTTTCAGTTCTCCAAAGATAAAGAAATTATTTCAAAAGCCATTTAGATAACCATTAATGGTTGAAATGGATGAATTCTGCTTTGACACAGAGAGAAAAATAATTCATTTATGCAGAAATGTCACCCCATACTTTTCCATAGTAGTAATAACAGTAGTAGAAAAGCTACTTATAACATAATGAATGGATAAAAAAGGTGACTTGTACCCACTTTCCGTCCATTTATTTCTATTTTAAGGACATGATTCTTAAATAGATCCAGAAGCCATATTTCCCTCTAATGGATTGTACTGTGATGGGGTCAAATAAGGCCATCTCCACTCTAGGAGCCAATAGACTTGAGTAAATACGATCCTGGTGATGTTAGCAATCCTTGGTTTATTGTAAAAAAAATGTTTTTTCATAGCAGTATCTTTTATAAATATCAGTAATCCCATTGTATAACTTTTTTTTTTTTTGTAATACTGCAAAGATGTGGACATGATTATACTTAGTACTGCTCAAGTCATTTGGATCCAGTCTACTTAAAAGTAATAGAAGTGCATCCTCATTAGATATGTAGGAGCCACAGGACAGAGAATGGTTACCCATTGTTTACAACTTTTGAGAAAATAAATTGAATTATGTCTTTGAACACTTGGACATTTAAGGTATTGAACACTTGGACATTTAAGGTATTATTGCGCTAAAAGTGATGTGCAATTTTTCACCCACATCTCACAGAGTTTAGAGTACATAGGCACTAAAAGTACATTTCCACATGACCATTCATAATAGAGACCAATTAATTTAATTTTTATTTTTTATTTTATTATTTTTTTTTTTTACATTTTTGAGATAGGTGCATGGTCCTTACAAATCATCCTGAAATTTTGTTTCAAAGTCTTATATCAATATTCCATCTCTAATATTAATCAAGACTAATGGCAGTGTCATATTTCTGTAGAGGGCTGTGTGCAGTGGTCATAAGTACAGGAACTACAGTCTGTACCTAAGCAAACACTAATGCCCTTTTATCTCGTCTCGGATATTAGTTATAGGACCATTCATCTTTCAAGTACAGTGTAGGGTGAGTGCACATGCAGTGTGGCAAAGTGTAAAGTGATCAAATTAGACTTGGAAATTAATTGTTAATTAATGGAACCAATATAATTTGAAATATGGGGTTGCCTGCACTATTATTTTTACACACAGGCATGTCAAGAGGGAAGAATGGGACATATAAGAAGTTTCTAGCCCCAAGCCTTTTACCTGTACTTCACCCCCATACCCACCCCCTCAGTTCCCCAGTAGTAAAATTAATTGTAAATAGCATGTGTGTGTGTGTGTGTTTTGTCCATATACATTTCAACAGAGTATAAATATTGCTGGCGATAGTTTTAAAATTAATGATGATATTATAATTATGGCATCAATTCTCCCTGAACAAAAGATGAATTAGCCACATTATTTATACATACTTTGATGTGGCTCATGCTACTAATGTATTTTTCTGTCCATATCTATCTATCTGTGTGTGTGTGTATATATATATATATATATATATATATATATATATATATATATACACACCATGGAGATTAACAATAGAATGATGATGAGTAGGAAGCCTGATGGCGGCACATTGTTTTATGCTCACTACAATGGGTTTAAACAGTTTCCGGCGGAAGTATTGAGGGAACATCTCAAACTGTCAGTCTCACAAATGTGTGGCCTTGAAAATACCTCAAAACATTACAAAAATCTTTCCTCCTCTGGTGGTGGTAGTGAGATGCTTCTGAAAGAAAATCCTTGAAATGTAAATCTTCACTGTTAAGCGGTATAACTGAATTTTACCATGAACCTTGTATAATAGTGAATTTAAGAGTATGCATGTAATTTTTTATTTTCCGTTTGTTCAGTAATAGGTAGATAAAAGGATTCATGCTATAAAAATATAAACATTATGAAAAAGTAATCAAATGTTAATCATTTTAATTGTCATATGTTGGTCAAAATTGAAACATTTTTCATTCAAGACATCAAAGTCAAAGTGGTGTGAATCACAAAAACTTATTGTTGTTCTTTTGAGGTGAAAGAATTAATTGTATATTTAAGTATCTCAGGTATAAGTGTGGATGGGGTGGTAAGGTATGAATGTTGGCAATATATTTAAAGCATGACTGAGCTAGTGAAAACATCCATTAATAAACACACACAGCTACAAAAATAGCAACATGGGAGAGGAAATCCTTTTCAAAATTACTGCTACCAAAATAAGATTTGAATAAGCAGGAGACATTGAGTTGAAATATGGGTGCTAAAATGGTCACTGATTCAGAGGATGACCCCGGAACTCAGGTGAAGACGGATCTTTATATCACATGCTCAGGTGTGCCGCTAAATGAAGAGTGATCAACACCCAAGACATCACATCACTCATCATGTCCTACATCATGATATTTGGCATAAGGTTGAAATATTAGAGTGTGTGTAAAATATGGTAATAAAAAGCTCTGTGCTCACGGCAGAGAGTTTAGTATCTGTTGGGTGATGTTTTCATTCACCTGATTTACACAATATATCTCATCACTCTCTTTCCTCTCTCTCTTCTCTCTCTCTCTCTCACACACACACACACACACACACACGAACTCGGTCATATAATCAGTTAATTTTCCCCACAAACAGCGTTCTCCCAGCTTCACAGCTTTTCTGTACTGTAGACAAGTCAAACAAGAAAGGGTTCATCTCTGCTATGGACAGCTATTACTCTCAAGGTATTCTAACTTAGTTTGGCTTGGGGCAATTGACAGTTGTAATTCCAACTACATATACGCCTGTGTAACTGCAATTGTACGCCAACTTAATTCATGTGAGAAAATAAAAATGAAATCATGTTCTAGCTGTGTAGTACTACTTATCCTGTGTCACAATTGCTGTTCATCAGCAAAAATGACTTTAATGTCTCTTTTAGTTTTTATGTCCCCTTTTTTCTCAAATAAAAGAAATATTCCTGTTTTATGTATTCATTTAGCTTGCTATCAAAGCAATGAAGGTAGATTTAGATATTTTTCTTTTTTTTTTTTCGAAGGTTCTTTGATAATGATATCCTATGGTTAGGAGAAATGAATCACAGCAGCAATTCCAAAGTCCGTAAACAACAATGTCCTCGTCTGTCCTTCTTTTCATTATCTCACCACCATTAAGATTGAGGGAGGTTAATGGTCAGGGTTAATCATGAAGTGACCTAGGTCAGTTGGGGTAATGAAAATGACCTTGGCTCAGTGCTTGAGAACTTTTATTTATTGTATGATTTCCTTAATTATAATACAAGTAACAGACCATGTGTATGATTGTGTGTGTGCTTGTTTGTGCGCGTGCATGCACATATTTTTGCACATGATTTATGTTTTTTTTTACATAAACCACATATAAAAGAATACAAGAAATGATATTATATGTATTTTATCTTAGCCGTCCATTCAACATGATTTTAAGTCTAGATTTGTGATAAAAAAAAACCTTGTCTACAGTTAACCTTGACATGAATAATGTTCTTTATTTATTAATTTGCATGTCTTC